TGGTGAAATATTTATATAATCCGCTAAGTTGACCGTTGTTTTAAGTAATGTATAAAAGTAGCAACTTGTGTAATCGGCAGGCAATATTCCGGCAAGAATTCATGGGCGAGTTCCTGTCAGTGCTGCTGGCCGGGCTGAGCGAGGGCGGCGCACGCGCCTTGGTGCGTGAGGAGGCGCTGGCGGCGCTCCACGCGATGGCCGCTGTCGACTTCGTCGCGTTCCGCCGCGCCTTCCTGCCGCATTTCTTGCACTCGCTGCCCGGTCTTGCACCGCAACATATTGAGCAACTTGCTGACTTCCCGCCTGATACGGTAAAGCTCAATTTATATCGGGGCGAAACGGAATGGAAGTGAATTTCTGTAACGATATTGTACATAGCATAAAGAACTTTATGGTCAATTGTGTAAAGTACAAACTAAATATAAGCCAAATTCTTCCGCCGCAATATGCATTGAGCCTAAGAAAAACAGAAAAATTCCATTGTCGATTGCTATTTAACCATATGTCGTGTCCAAATACGCCTTTGCAGGTAAGTACTGCACATAAATTTTGATTGCTTTCGTGGTCGAACGGTTACCTTCCTGGACTGCCACGCTTAGGTACTAAGCGTGGCAGTCCAGCAAGGTAACCCGTTCGACGCCGGGAGAAATATTTGTATGGCCTACATTCATTCCTCTCGTGAGTTTGGGTGTAATTTGTGGTTGTCTATGTGTGTGTCCATGGCACCCACGACATAGGGTTTACCTAGTGCGAGCTATGAGTGTGCGCGCGTAATTATTATTATAAAAACGGATTTTGTTAAACGCAGTACAGACCTCTAGGATGCGTGACTAAAGAACCGATGTGAGAGCTCGAGAGTCGACTGCTGAAACTTTATATTTCAATACATTTTTTGTTTTTTTTATGCCCAGGATCTGCCGACGTTTACACAGAACATCCAAAAATTGATGAATGACGTGAACTGCTACCGCGCCTACAATGCGCTCCAGCCGCCTGCTATGACGTCATAGCACACGCCCGATCTCATGGTGCATTGATGCTGTGGGGAAATTAGTGATTTAATAAACTATTGGAATAACCGCGTGTCATACCACATACAACGCTGATTTACAGGCTCAAAATTCCCCATAAAATTGAGCTGAACGTGTTCACCTATCAGGAAATGATAATTCAATGTGGTTGTTTGTATGTAAGTTTTTATATATTGATGCGTGTGAGTGTTCTGAGTAGTGTACTCGGGGGTTAATTTTCGGTACTCACAATATAGACTATCCCCTGTTTTGAGACCAGATAATTGTTAGTAATCGATGATCTTAAAACGAAGAATGAGACATTCGAATATTTTAAAAAACAGACTTCATAGGTAGTACTGTGAATTCACTCAATGTTACAGGGCTGAATCTGTATTTCTTTATTAGGTTACCTAACCGTCGACCACAATGAGGAAATTGGGCACAAATAATGGAGGACATACAATAATTTTACTTGAGAAGATTGTGAAGCGCCGGCACCCGAGTGCCATATAATTTATTATTTAACAAAAGGTCAATATTTATGGTATTTTGAAAAATATTTGCTTGCAATAAACAAGCTATATTTGCCGAAGACAAGAAAACACGATGCGTTATTGCCTATTTTATTAAGTTACAAATGACATTTCACTCGCAAACCAAATAATTAGTTTGTGTGTAGTCGAAAATAAGAATTACTATATTTTATATTAACACCAGGTGCACGAACATGTTCGTCACGCCATTTAGTATAAATAAAAATATTTTTAGAAATAAATTTGTTATGCTGTGTAACAAGTATATCCTCAGATGGATAGAAAATAACTATCCGTTTACATTGTCCGCCACTTAAATTCCTGTTTCTTTGATTAATAACATATTATTACAAATTTGTCGGGGATAGTGCAATAACGTAACTAGCATAGCAATATAAGTTTCCATTTCGGTAAAAAAAAATCAAGTGACGGGACGAACAAGTCGTGCGCCTTATGGTAAGCTACATGCCTGTCCATAACAGTTACGGGAATCTATAGTTATCAGTCCGTAAACGACATAAATTAATACTTATTGTGCAAAATTTACAGTCATTTTCTTGTAAAACTTGCTTTAGTGCAGATATACGAATTTGCACTATCACCGACGATTTCTTGAAATACGTCACGTGGAGTACATGTTTTTGCTGTTTATAGAATCAACAAATTTATTAGGACAAATATAAATGATTCATAATTTAAAATCTTGATAAGTAGTTTTAATTATTACGTATTCCTTTTAAGTTTGAATTTCTTGTAATGACTTACTCACGGGCAATGTACTGTGTTTTCTTGGAGAATAAGTAATTGAAATGAATGAATGAATGTGTGACGCACGGTGGTTTCACAATCCTTTTAAATATAGAAAAAATTCTGAGTGCATCAATCATCGCATTGACTGTAATCTTAGATTATAATATTTTATGCTTTTGTAAAGCATTTCGAGAGAGGATTTTTGATCCACTGTCGAATTTTACTTATTCTAGTTACTAGTCCTTTTAACTAACATTCAAAATTTAATAATTTAATTGTAATTTGTAAAAGTAGTTAGTATGATGGCTACGAAAGCTCAATATAGCCCAAAGTAATTTAGTATTTTTGAACATTTCAGAGTAGGTGAGACGTAAAGGACCCCAGAATTGTTAGTTTGGAATTTATTATTTCTACAAACGTTGCTTTAGTATGCTAAAAATCACGCAATGGTAAAAGACATTAAACCCTATCGTCGTTTGTTTTTTATTTAACATATTATTTTAAGATGGGTATGAGTCTCATTCAAATGCTCTATACTAATAATTACTATTTGGCACTTAGGGTCGTATTCCAGAACTGTACTCATGCTCAAGTCAGGATTTGAGCAGACTTGAGTATGATTTCAAGCACTGGAAATACGACCCTAATGGCAAGGACTTGAATATGATTTTCAGTGCTCACTGCAATACTCAAGTCCTGACTTGAGCATTGAGTAGAGTTCTGGAATACGACCCTTAGGGTTCTTTACCGCTCACCTACAGATTTTGAGAATGGGCTGCCATGTTTAGTGTGATTTTATTATTTATTGGTAATTGAAGTTCCAAAAAGTTTATTTTACAATTACACAAATGTTTTCCTTAGTGTTGATTGTGGTTGGTGGACAAAGTTTTCTACAAACCCATATACAAACAAAATCTCATGTATTTTCTTTGACTGCCTTAAAAATATCTATTTATAAACCACTTGTTGGTTTACTTTTAGTTGGTTTACAATAAGCATTGTTCATTTTCTTTTTTACAACTTTTATGTACTACTTACTTACGTACTTTTATGTTTATGTACTTTTATGTTTAAAGAATGCCTAGTATATAATTTTATGTTGATATAGATATGATTTTCTAAAACATCTGAAACTACGTGCGCATTTATTTCTAGTTGGGTGCAATATCAAGCTGTGAGAACTTGAGAAGACAATTGAATCAATGCAATTATTTCTTCTTAAATGTTGGTGGTGTACGTGCTATATTTTATGCATAATTTTTGTTAATAGATAATTAAAAATAAACAAGCTTACGTTATGTAATCAAAAATTGTTTTATTTAATTCCTTACTTACCTGCAATAGAAAATCATAACAAACAAGCTATTTAGTATTTCATTTACATATGGTTTACATAAGGTTTATAATATTTTTCTTTTAACTACTTCCTTGACAATATCTTTATGACTTGCGTAGAGATTTAAATTAGGTGTAATATCCAACCACTGTACACCTACAGCATCGTCACCCGCATGCAGTTTCAAAGTGCCTACAACGGAGTCATTTTCATCATGGAAATTGTATGCTACAGTCTCCATCCAAGCATTATCAGTATTGCGCGGATCATCAACATAGCCTCTGTATACTTCATCTCCTCGCTCAAAGAATTTTTGAAACTTTTCTTGCCATGCTTTTTTTTCATCTGAAATATCAATACAAATGAATCATATAACCTTTAAGTAACCCAAGTATTGCATGTTACATGCACAAGTAAGAATTTTAATTTTAGTAAGTATCCATGACACTGGTGAAATCTTTGGACTTTTTATACCCCTTACTTTCAGACATGGTGAGAGAACTAGTGGCTTCTTCCCTGAATTCCCGTACAGCTGTAGCGGCGACTTTTTCACCAGGATCGACCATGCCTCCGGGCAGCGCCCATTCATCTGTGTCACGACGTTTTATAGTTACAAATTGAAGAATCGGCCTGCAATTACAGAATTAAGCAATGTATATAATATATACTAGAAATAATTGAATATTTTTAAGCAATATTGTCCGTCTATGTAATAGTGATTATCTCAATTAAAGAAACTCTTTTAATATGCTAAGTGATTATGAAGTTATGGAGTAGCATCACTCATTTTAGATAGATGGCTTCTAAGTGTCTCCCGAAATACTTCTTTTTCCATTACCTCTGGCCAACTCTGCAGGTAGGCATTTAGATTATTGTACAGACGGCAGCATATCAAGCTACTCATTTGACAGATCTTGTTGTTGAAAAAAATATATGTATAGTATATGGCTTGGTGTGCTGTTGACTGCACCATGGTTTTCAGGGTCTGCATTGATGTTGACATATGTTACACAAAATAACCAACTTATTATTCTCATCATACTGGATATCACCAGTCTCGTTTCTCTTCCACCTGGTGACAATAGGGTCTGCAGCGTGATTAGGTCCCCATCGCCCGAGAACGCCTCTGCCCTGGACACCGGTCCTTCCCACTGGATTTAAAGGAACGTCATTCACGACTTTGTAAGGTCCCATATAGCTCTCTCTGTTTACAGTGCCATCCTGACTGTTCCATTTTGGCTTAAAATTTGGGTCACCTACAATAAAATTATGTACTTTGAATAATTTAATTCAATGCTGAATTTTGTGTAAGGGAAACTTGCAAGACGTCTCAGCTACTCTTTGCGAAATAAATAATAAATAGAAATCTTTGTAATTTGTGAAGTAGAACGTGAAGAATTAAACTTAACAAAAATTAAAACTAAACAGTAGATAATAAAAAAACTACCAAAATTCTTGTTTGTTTTCATCTACACAATTTGCTGTTCTGCATGTTGCAATCGCAAATCCAGTCTTTTATATTATATCGTAGCGATAAACATACCTATCTCAAGGTCTGCCCATGGTTGTCCTTGTATACTGGCAGCTGTGTAATATGGAGGGTTATATTCTGGATATTCCACTGTCCAGCTGATTTTATGGTCAGGAACAGAGAGCCTTTGTATCGAAGACCGGGGGTATGTACCACCCCGACATTTAATATGTGTTGCAACTGACATTGCTAAAGTTCGGATCATATATGTGCTTGACAGGCACTTCATTTCTTCAAAATAATACCCACATAATACCTAAACCTAAATTTAAGTTTTTTTCAATGGTTTTTACGGCTCTGAATACTTTGCACTTAATTTAAGATTTTTTTTAATTTATTTCTGGCCATGGAAACAAAGTCCTTCAGCCGAAAACATAAAAATAAGTTTTTCTGTAAATATGGCCGCCACAAAGAGGATAGGCAATTTGAGTCGGCGTGCTTGGATCGACTCGGGATTCCTTAGAACGGGCCGATACGGGTATTTTAGTTCGAGATTCGTATAATTTCGCGTTTTAATCTTCGATTAAGGCACAATAGCACTATCCTATTCCACTTTAAACTAGATTTCACAAAATAATTGAAAGTCAAAATAAAAACGACACTTTTCCCTCCAAAAGCTCCAGAGCGAATCTACTATTTACGATTATGACAATGTTGCCAACATACAAATAACTCAATGCTCAAGTCAGGACTTGAGTATGATTTTCAGTGCTCACTGCAATACTCAAGTCCTGACTTGAGTATTGAGTAGAGTTCTGGGATACGGTCCTTAGGGTCGTTTTCTAGAACTCTACTCAATGCTCAAGTCAGGATTTGAGTATGGTTTAAAGCACTCGAAATCATACTCAAGTCCCTTCCATTAGTCGTATTTCCAGTGCTTGAAATCATACTCAAGTCAGGATTTGAGTATGGTTTAAAGCACTCGAAATCATACTCAAGTCCCTGCCATTAGGGTCGTATTTCCAATGCTTGTGTTTCCAGTGCAATCCTGACTTGAGCATTGAGTAGAGTTCTGGAATACGACCCTGGGAGTTTAACCACAAATCATTGACCTACCAACATATAAAATTAATATAAAAATGACAGAAAATGTATGTCAGATTCCTCTTTCAAAAAAACTTTTACTTTGGCGCCGCGTAAACGTGTCATATGTTGGATATAAGATACAAGCAACCGGCAACTAAAAGTGAATATTTTATTTTTATACAATTGCGGTTGCAGCATCCAACGGCGGCGAGTGTCCGATTGCCGAACTGGCCACTGTGTCAATTTCATATCAATGATATGAAAATAGAATATTCGCTTTAGTTGGCGGTTGCTTGTATCTACCACAAGAGACATGTATGCGCGGTGCCTTATAGTGTTAATATCACAATTTAGGAAAAAACATTTATTAAAGAAATAATGTACAAATTTATTGAATCGAAGTTTTTTGAATGGTGTTCACTTTCTTCTGCGCGTTGTTTTTCTTGCGGGGGGTTTCTTGAACACCTCGATATTACGTTTTGTTTCGAAGTCGTCATCTGAAAAAAAAAAGATAAATCATGGGGGCTAATAATTCGACAAAACTCCAACTAGCACTATGTATAATTTAGTCATTAAATGTAGAGCGCAGAACGCTTTATAAATGAGTAAGATACGAGTTTTGACATTGTGTATGTTTAGGTGTGGCATGTGATCCATCGTAAGTATTAATAATAAGACAAGTATCCACACAAACGTAGCAGCGTGTCTTGTAGGCGTGTGCGCCTGTCGCGTGTCGTGTACGGATGCACACATTAGCATAATCACGTGATGCACTCGCATTGCACAGCGCTGGTCGACCACGCAACTTTCATTATTATGCGAATGTGTGCGTCAATACACGGCGCGCGGTAGACGTGCACGCATGCAATCCGCGCTACTACGTTTGTATGGAGTTACCATACTTGTCTTATTATACTATGGTATGTACCTGAGTCTTCAGAATCATTACTTGTGACTTTATTGTAACGGGCTGTTACTTTTCTAGCAGATTTTCTCGTCGATTGTGGCGTGACTTCTACATTATTCGGGGGGTCATTCTGTAACATAAATAACATAGGTGTTAAAAGAAATTAAGCATATAATTAAAAAATAAGTGCGCATTTGTATTCCGTCTCACCTGATGAAAAGTGACGACGAAGTTGTCGATGGAGCATGCACACCTAAAAAATGCCTATTCACTCTCACCTTGAAAAGGCCCAAGTTATACCATTCCGGGAACAAGTCTGCAGTGAATTCCATTCCATTGCCATTCGCCATTTAATGTGGAAGCGAAAAGCTTGTGCGAATCCTTGGAATATTCACAACATAGATGTGGAATCCCAGCGTACGTCTGGTCCCCCGATAATGGAAAGGGGAAGGCTGAATTAAATCGTGCAATTCCCTCGCACACTCTCCGCGATATACGAGTATGTATACTGTAGAACACCGACAAGCAAGCAACATTACGGCGGTGTTAAAGGCTCTGTAGCTTCACCTCTACTAATTCCGAGACACATATAAGCCTCTTGACACGATTTTCAACTGAATCTAAGGTGGCCAGTTGGTGTTTAGCAGAACCATCCGTTAGGTGGCAGCAGTTCTCCATACACGACCGGACTTTGTGCATGGTATGTATAGCTACGTGAAACGCGCGATTGCATCGATGCAAACACGCGATTGTACCGATAAATCCCAAGTGTAGCGATGCAATCGCGCGTTTGTACCGATGCAGTCGCGCGCTTGAATTGCGTTTGCATCGCTTCTTAAAATCGCGCGCACGAAGTGTAAAAGTAGACGATTAGCGACTGCATCGCGTTTGTATCGCTCCTAAAAGTCGTCGAGTGTAACCGCTCTCAGTACGGTCTAGACGAGGGCCTAAGGCGAGGAGACGCGCGGGGTGTACGGGAGTTGCCCTTTAAGTCGGAAGGTATGTCCGGACATTGTCGCAGGACACTGCGACCGGCATCTCCGGCACTAGCCCGGAGAGCTAGTAGAGGATGAGCTAGACATCTTCTAGTCCCTCCAGTCGTAGGTTTCTGGGAATGGGGGAGACAGTTCGGCGTCGGAAAGTGAGCGTGTCTTAAAGCTCCGCTTCCAAAGAGGAGATTTGGTAGTAGACTTTAGAATTAACGGCTTGGCGGTGGCAACCGTTAGTTGCACAGAGCGCAACGTGAAGTGAGCGTGCCTATAGCTCCGGTGCCTCCGGTATCAAGTGTAATTTGCTTACGTGTAATTTTGAAGTAAAGATTATTTGACTTTGACCTATCTGGAAAATAGGGATGATATTGCATGCACACCCGGGGCAGCTCACCCAAGGCACTAGACTAGCCTTTTGAGAACTGGATCAACTACTTGCAAATGGGCTGATCTGGAGTCAGGACCTGACTGAGAAGGTCGCTGTGCGGGCTTGCTTGCATAAGTTATAGTGCCCTTCCCGTATAACCAAGAGGTTGGTAGGGAGTGTCACTTTAAATAAAACTTATGTAGAAATGGGATGGAATATGTGACTGTCCCGGTGTGTAGTAGCGCCTTACCCTGGAGAGGTTTCCTGGCTGCATTTTTGTGTACTAAACGGAACACGGAGCTTTGTCAATGCCATAAAAGCCTAAACGTATCCCGAGATAACACTAATTGTATAGGAGTAATAATTATACCTACCTCATCAGGGCTAGAAGACGAGCGACGTCGGTTTCTGCGTGCTGCAGGTTTTCGTCGTGGAGTAGCACGTGGTGCGGGTTCCAGAGGCGCGTCTTTGCGAGCGTCTCTATCCGCGTTGTCCTCACCTTCGCCATCCTCATTATCTCGTACGGCGAAACATTCTTCTATTTTATCGCCTAGTTCTATTACTAGACTCTTTATCTCATTTTTGGCCATTTTCGAAGTATTATTCATCAAGGTAGTTAAGCTTTCCATGACTCCAGCACAATGTAGCTTATCTTTATAGCAGTCCATGTTCTCAATAAGCTTGCGTAGTGACCGCTCGTTGTAGGTAAACAGCGAGAGGCAATAGGCAAGATCGCGCCATTGTCTTTCGTCAGTTGATAGTTTGAATCGTTGGCATAGTTTTTCAACTAATGCTTCCATTTGACGATCCTTTTGGATTAGGGATGTTATGTATCTGAAAAAAAAAAGAGGAAATTACTTATATAAATAATAACAACAGACAAAAGTTTAGGTAGGTTATTATCACAAACAAAAAATAAAGGTTTTGTTTATAAATTCGAATTTCGAACTATTAACCCCCACTTGGATGTTTCATTGATTTATATTTTTTAAACTTAGAAAACGTTTATTTAGAATTGTCGTTACTTATAAATTTTATAAAGATGATGTGATCAGGATCGTAGCAAGTGGAAGACTGTAACCTATGCCTACTTAATGTAACTTTTATTTTATGATATAGTCTTTTTTTAATCATGAAATGCACATTGTATAGAAAACCTTACTTCATTATAACCCTGTACTGATCCTCAGGCACGTTCAACTCCGGATCACTCAGCCTGGATATGATATCAGGCATAACATTGTACAGTGCGTTGCCTTTCTGCGACAGTTGTTTGAAGAACAATCTCGTCATGGCGGCCACACGAGGATCCTTGTCAGCGCAGCATAATGCCATGTCTGCGATCTGGCCCTTCACACGGACCATTTCGTGTAGGACTAGGAATGATAACATTTTTACTGCGCATTGTCGGACTTCTAATTCTTCGTCGGTGAGACTGTAAAGTATAATAATTGCTGTACATAATTGAAAAATGTTGTGCTTTAAGCCAGAATATCACATAGTTTTTAATGGGCATCTACAAATAGCTAAATTATATATACATACTCTGTGTCTAGACTGTGTATGGACAACTTTGTGATTTATTGATGAATAAGTAGAAGAACCAGTTTACACAGACCGGCTAAGCAGGCAATATAAAATTGTTTACATTGACACTTACATGTTATAAATATGATGCGTCCACGGCTGTGTAAGGTTGGGGAAACGAAGCGTAAGATCGGCAAAGGCTATGGTCAAATTGGTTCGCAAAGTCACATTTTTAGAGCGCTTCAATACTGTCACCATTAGTTGAAGACCATCCTCGCACACTGAGCTTGACACTAGCATGAATCTGTATAATAATAAAAAATAATAAGAAATATGGACTGTTCCAGACGTACTCAGTGACACAGATCCTGGCAGGACATCTGCTGAACCATAATAAATGTAGTGTATAACGCAAATGTGTAATAAAATAAGTGTTAGGTGGTGGTTTTAATATAACCATTTTAAAGGAGCGCGTTACCTGGTGAAGGTAAGGGCAGCAGCCGCCTGCAATGTTGGCGTACATTTGGCTGGGTTAGAGAGCAACCACCGCAGTAGCGGAATATACCGCGCCAACGCAGTCTGCGATCCGACGATATCTTTCTCGCACACACTGCGAACGTATTCGGCGTCCGCGTCGTCTGCCACTGCGCCTTCCAAGCCAGTTTCTTCTTCTGTCATTGTTGTGTTTGCCTATGCGATATGACATTATGTTTTAATTTTCCTTAATAATTACACTACTTAATAACAGTAATTTCATAAGTTCTTTGTTGTTCTTTTTGTTTGCATATTATTATTTTATTACATTCAATGCTGTGTACGTCTGTAATAGGTAGTCATATAAGAACAATCCTAATGTAAAGTCACACTGTTATCTAAGAGTATATTATTACGTACTACTGTTGATGTATCTTATCGATAAGATAAATAAATAAAAATACATTAACAGGTATATTGGAGGTTACATACATAGATACGACTACGTTTTATAGAGTAGAATAGAATATAATACGTTTATTTGCCAGAATACAGTAATTACAAAGGGCTTAAGTAAAATTAGGAACATTGTATTCAACCTGCAAGCAGATGTGCAAATATTAATGGGATTCAATGTTTCTTTAGTCTCTATAGTTTCTAATTAATGTAATGAATTTGTAAATTCTAAGTATTCTTTATTACTATAGAAGCAATGTGTCAAAAGCCATTTTGTCAGTTTTAATTTAAAAGTATGTCCTTGTAACAATTTAATTTTGTTTGGTAATTTATTGTAAATAATTATACACATGTTGAAGCAGTTATTCTTATAAAATACTTTATGGCAACGAGGTTGGTATAAGAGATTCATAATTTTTGCTCTAGTTTGCCTTTGAATGACTTCACCGCGTGTTTTAAAATATTGAGGATGAGAGTTGACAAATACGCAGATATCCCTATTGTAATGGTAATATGTTCAGCCTTTTAAACAGCGGTTTGCAACTGTCATCGAACCACGCACCGCAAATTGCTCGAATACACCTCTTCTGGACTTTAAACGCTCTTTCTAAGATTACTGAGTTACCCCATAGTACAAGACCGTAGCTGAGCGCACGGACGAAACGTAGCCGTGATAGGCCGTCAACGCAGCTTCTCGTGAGACAGTTTGCCTTAGTCTTCGTAAAGCGTAAACAAATCTGTTTAGGTTCATGCACATCTGTTCGATGTGTTCCTTCCAGTTAAGGTTCTTGTCGATTGTTAACCCAAGAAAGTTAAATGTGTCTACTTCATCTACAGTATCAGAGTTGTAATTAATTTTAACTGGTATGGGATTTGAGTTGTAAGATCTAAATGTCATAACTTTGGTTTTACTTATCTTCTTCTTTTAAATGTTATGGCCGCATCGAAATAATCAATGATATTAATATTCAAGTCATTGATGTCCATCCAACTTATTACGTCTGTCAGTGCTTTATTTACGTCAGTGTTAAAAGTAGCTTTGTTTTGGCATTTTTTTATAAGAGTCGTATCGACAGAGATTATATAGACAGAGAAGATTACTTCTAAAATTTAAAGATGATTAAATATGAACACAAATCTCCACTAAATAGCAATAGGCAGTCAAAACCGGTGGAAAATTCTCGGTACGTCTATATCGCGAAATAGATGCAAATATAAAGTGATGCCCAGTGAAGACATTAACCTTAGATGCTTACCGAAGGTCCCTTATTGGACGCAACGCTAGCCGATCGTTGGCCCCTTGAAGAAGCGCTCGCATTACTTGCGTTCATCAAAGTCTGGCGACGCAGGTCGTCGGCGCGCCCTTTTCGAATCGGCGTCGCGAATGCACCTGCTTTCTTCTTACGTTTCTCTTCTGCCTTGCGTTCTTCGCGAACCTGTCATAAATTATACACATAAGTACCAAAATATTAACTTATATTTGCGAGTATGAAGGATAGTATCTATCAAAGCCTTAGAACATTTTCGCGCTCAGGTTAATGTGGTAAATCACTATATTTGTAGTCTGGTAAAAAAGCTTGTTGGTAATAACAGTTTCTTTTTTATATTGTTATTTATCATTTTACAAGAAAAAAAATCGGCTTGTCATAAAATATGCTGCGCATGCAATAACGACTTACAATAGAAGACTTTGAGCAACCTTTACCTGGTTCCTTCGTCTCAATTCACTGTAGACGCTAATATCCAAATATATCAGTTGTTGAAATGCCACATGTCCCAATACAAATACAAATCGTGCGAGTAGTTCAGTCGGTATAAGTGTTTCATCCTTTTCCTCCCCCTCATTCATTTCATTGTTCCTGACCATAGCTTCTTCTATCTTTTTATACATCTCAGCTAAGATTTTCGCGCAAATAATTTCAGGAGTATCACAAACTGCATAGATGAAATCTATAGAATTCGCAGCAAAGGAAGTAAAGTTGTCGAGTTTCGAAAATGCTTCCATAACGCTGTCGTACACAGAGGTGAATATAGCGTGATCGGCGGGGTATCTTTGATTCTTTTTTGCCAGAGAAATAAGTAACTGAACACTCAGGTTTCTTGAATTGTAATCCCCAGTGAGGCCGTGTATTTGGATGACCTCAAGATTGGCTAGAGCGACAGACGGTTTGGCTTTGGCGATCATCACCAAAATGGATAGAGCCGCGTAGCTGTCCATGTCAGTGGTACCGTCGATTTTCTTCAAGAACATTTCCCAGAATAACTGAAGAAAAATAGCAATTTTATATTATTTATTGGACTTAGCTTGCCTAATCGGTACTGCAGTGTCGAGGTGAAAGTCATGGTCGCTACTTCAAGAATAGAAATAGCCTGAATGTAGTACCTGTATGAGGGCAGGGTTGATGTCTCCCTTATCGACCCACTTGTCGACAAGATGTTCCAGTGCAAGTGCGCTTCCGCGGTCGATGTGATTCATAAGGTCAACGAGCTTCTTGGCGATGGCGAAGGCACGTGCACGTTCCGCCTTATTGTCGCACTCGAGGTACATCTCACGGTACGCCCGTTCCACTGCTTCGCGTTTGTCCTGTTATTTAAAAGTGTTAGTTATTTTATTAAGTAACCTATTTTATGGGTATGTTCACATAGCACGAACTACTTATGCTATGGGAACTCCTCTCAAAAGTATGGAATAGTCGATTTATTTTCACGAATATGTCCCCTGATGTATAATGTGGTTTTGTTTCATGGACTGAGTTTCTTAATTCTGCTGGATAGTATAAAATCGTAAGATTATTATAGAATAGAAAACGTAGATTTGCCAGAATACAGTAATTATACAGATCTTAAATAAAATTAGGTACAATGTATCAACCTCCAAGCAGGTGTGCTAATACTAATTGAATTAAATATTTTATTTGCATTTCAAATTAATATAACTTTTTTTTTAAACTTTTAAACATTGTTTATTACTATAGAAGCAATTGTCGTAAACCATTTTGTAAATTGTGATTTAATCGTAGCTCCGTGTAATAATTGAAATTCATATGGTAAACTATTGAAGATCTTTATGCACATATTGAAGCAGTTATTCTTATAAATTAATTTATGGCAATGAAGTTGGTATAAAAGATTCATGATTTTAGGTCTGGTTTGCCTTCGTATTACATCACTACGTGTTTTAAACGAATCACAAATACACATATGTCCCTAATATACATGCACGGCAAAAGCAGTGGTAGTGTCAATTTATGTTTAGCATACAATATAGACGATAGATATAAGAAAAAACACACTCATTATCAAACTAAACGGGCGAACTATGTGTAGGCAAGAATTATGTGTTATTATTATGAATTATTATGTATTAGTATGTACAATCATCAGTACATGAAGCTATATTACACTTTTCTTCGAATATCGCCTCCAGTGCAATGGAACAAGATTGCCAGTGTGTAGCTTGATGTGCTGCCATCTGTACGATATTAAAGAGTAATAAAATAAGTGGTGAGGGTTTTATTATTAAAAAAGTTGGCCTGTTACACTCACTTGATCCGGTGACCACACAAGCAACAGCATATTAGCGACTCCATCTTTCGCAGATTCGATATTAAAATGGTGTGCGGTTGTAAAGAAATCGATCGCCTCACTGACGTCGCCAGCTTGCTTCGACATTAGCAGCGCGTTTATCAAAGGCACAGCTTCAGATATCATGCGGCTAAAGTGAACTGACTCTTGTAAAAATGCCACTATGTTCTCTTTTTCTTCAACTCGTTTGTATAATGCAAGCTCGTTCGCGCATTCTTGCGATAGCGATGTGGATTGTCTGCGATCAGGTACTATGAATACGTTGCGGAGTAGAGCTACGAAGTATTCCACCTGATAATGGAAGTTATACGTTTATAATAATAACTTTAGCGAATCGCAGCAGTCGCTACAAATCTCTTTTGTATATATTTTATAGTCTCTTTAAGTTTTATATTTAAATTCCAAATTTAAATGTGATTGTTTTTGGCGCCTTTACTATTGTTTCTGTTTTGGATTGATACATGTTGTAATAAATTAATGAACTGTAAGTACATTTGCTTTAGCCATGCTCACTCTTTGTTAGCACCCACCCAAACCCATTGATACAGTCCGCTACAATAATAATAATCTTTTATTTCAAACTAATGTTCATATTTTGTTTATATAACACTGGAATAAAGACGTGAGTTTGAGTAAGTGCTAAAGTGTTTGTTAAGTTGCCACAACAAAAAACTTTTATTTTTATACATAGAATCACAATTGATGTTGCTACCTTTACCATCACAGATATAGAAAAAAGGTAAATAGTTAACCACGGCATTTCTTTCTTTAAATATTTATGTAATTCAATAGTTTACTTATACTTTAAGTTACCTGTTCACTTTTCTCCATATCACATCTCAACAGTTTTGCATGTGGATATTGTCGTTCAGCATGTTTCACAATCAAATAAGCTTTATAAAAGTTTTTTTCTTTTAAATGTTTTCGAATCGAATTATAAACGTCATCAATGGACGCTTGTGAAAGTTCTGGCTCATCTTGAGTCAATATATTCATTTTTTCTTTAATCATTTTGATTACATGTTCTTCAATTTTCTCCCATTTTTTAACGAGTTCTGGGTCAGGCCCTGGATTCAGTTGCTTCTGGAGACCGTCAAGGATTTTCTGTTCTGTTGCTAGTTGTTCTTCAAGTAGTTCTAATTTGAGTTGAGCGGAAAATGGATTGCATTCGAGAAAGATCTGTAAATAAAGATAAAATTATGTGATTCAACAAAAAGGTGATTAATTCGTTAGATATTTGTTTAGAGCATAGTTTCCCTAAGTGGCCTCTATCGCTGCCCAGAGACGGTAGGATCCTCAGAAGCAATTGGGGGCATTGATGCTGTCCAGGGGTGCTACCGCATCTGAATTATTTATATAAACTAGACTACAGAAAAGAAAATATATATTTTCTTTTTCTTATGATGTTTGGGTCAAATTAATATTAAAAATGCGTGTTTTAAATTATTTTTTGTGATGGTGGTGGTGGGCGTTGAAGTTTTTTTATCTTGCCTTAGTGGGCGGTGAGCCAAAAAATTTGGGAACCTATGGTTTAGAGTATAAAATTTAGTCAAATGGGATCTACCTTCTTGTCAAATAAGTTGTAGTAAAAGAAGTTTAAATTTAAATTTTGTACGAAAAACAAATTCTGTTGTACTGTTAAGTTGTAGTACTTCTGTGTAGATTTAGGCGGTGGAGAGCCTGGAGATTCGCAACACAGGTTCTTGCCTAGTGCAAACTCCAGTTCTCTCAAAGGAATCTTTTAATATTAAGTTATTGTACCAAAACTTTTGTCTTTACCTTTGCAGAAAGTAATAAATGTATTTGTATTTTTTTTATATTTGTACGAAGATACCTTAAGCAACTGAATAGCGGCTTTTCTGACAAGCGCTGCCTTGTCCCGCAGCCGGCCAATAGCTCTTTCCAGAACGGTGCGTTGCCGATTTACTGGTACGCAGTTTTCGCGCTGCAATCGGCACCAGAACTGCAGGACCTGTTGTACAAATAATAAAGTACAGTAATGAAATAATATTCATATTTAAGTAATTAAGTCTGGATACATATTTGAAGTCTGGATAGCAATTTTTTTTTTCTACGCATCGATTGTCATGTACACCGGAGCCGTATGCGCAACTTTGTTATCAGTCGACTTGCTGTAAGTTGTCGTATACAAGTATCTATAGTCCATTTGTTTAGGACTTAAGAAAATGTAAACAATCTTGAGATGTCCTAAAGAAATGAACTATAGAGAAGATGACAATGGATTATATTATCTAAGAAATTTAAAAGTCAATGTAAGGGTGTTGTAACAACTTACCTAACTTCTCCGCTTCTTCGTATTGTATAATAAAGACCATTAACTAGGAATAATAACGAACCTTATGTCTAACGTATGCTGATAAGTCATGCATGTGCTCGTAAAGGTCATCTAAGAAATCATCCCGCTGCGTACGTTGCTCCTCCGTCAACCCCTCTCCGCGCAGTTCCACTGTCAGCACTTCACACATCATGCCTAGTACACTGATTCGTAAAGTGTATGACTGAAATAAATAAGGCTTTCTTTATACAAAGGCTGAAAAGTATCATCTTGAACAATTTGAGACAGTATTGATTTTTTATATGAATGTATGTGTTGGGAACTGTTGTTTAAAGTTCGGCATAATTAAGTGGCAGGATATACATGTGCCTCAGCTAGAATTAAAAATTTTCCCGTACTGAATCGGTTCTATTGCGCGAGTCGAGCGGCAGAGCCACTGGCTTTATTTCAGAATATTTTTTTTTTTCCAAACGAAATTAAAGCCATTTGAAAAATGTATATCGTATACATGTTATGTTTAGTTCAGTTGACATAATAATAGTATGTTATGTATTGCTATATATGCTAAATAATACAGCTGTTTTCTCGTAAAATTTCGAGGTATGTTTGTGTTTTATTTCTATCGTTAAAATTCTTAGGAATCGTGTTTTCACACTGTATACTAATCAGTGTATATCATTCAACACTTTTACTGATATGCGAAATCATGTAAAGCCATTTGAACTGTTGAAGAAGGTAATGATTATAATTATGAAGGTGGAACCTGAAAAACAGCATGTAGTGCTGACGCTCCATCCTTTTCACTGTCACTAGATTCCATATTTCGTAAACTATCAACCTTTTTTATTGTAAATGTGCTTATAGATAATTGTCTTATTATTATTATTATTATTAATGTTTTAAGGTAAAAACGAACATTACCTCATCACTCTCCAAATAAGGCTGTATAGTAGAAATAGCGCTAGTCATCTCTTTGGGCACCTCTTTAGTGAGTTCTAGCAGGAAGGTCCCGCAGTTTCTAGCTGCGCTCTGTTCAGTCCCCGTAGCTGCATTCTCTTCGTCGGTGGAAGCAAGAGCTTCAGCTATTTCTCGGACCTAAATACGTTGTAACGTACTCTCATAATGGTTCGTAATAAATGTGTTTGGATTCTATAGTTATGAATTTAGTTTATATTTTAATAAGACCTACCATTTGTGGTCCAAATGTACCCAGGCCAAAATCTTTAGTTAGTTGTACAACTCCTCCACAAATTGGTAAAACAGCATGTTCAAATATTTGTAGCACCTGTAATAAAATAGATACAAAATAAATATATTGTATATGTAGGACAAGAAAATAGATTAACTACCGCAAATAAAAAAGTATACTGTGTCAATATAATAATATGCAAATCAATTATTGTACAGTGAGTTTAAATGAAAGGTGTAGTCACAATTAAATTAGCGACATCAGATGCATTTTTATGACAGCATATAACTTTAACAAAAAAAAACCTAAATATGCCTGTGAACCTTTTTATTCCAACTGGATATTAATTTTTAAAAAAACAGATATAAAGGTAAGGAAGTCACCTGCACTAATTTAATAAGACATGACATGCCATGGTTATACTTCTTAATAAGGACCCCTAAGACTTGAAAGACAGTTTCTCTTATAGACTTTGTTTTGATTATCTGTTCTTCTAAAGCTTTGTAGCATGGGTCTGCTACCATCCTGTAAAAAGTGTAAAGTTTATTTTACATATTCAAATCAGCACTTCTATAAAACGTAAGAAGTAATGCAGTACATGCCTGGGTTTCCAAATAATTTAGTCACTCGTTCGAGGTTACGAGATAAGTGCCTACCGCTGAGTGTATCGCCGGCAGTGCAAGTTCTCAGAGGGTGTTGCACGCACATTTGAATGGTCGTACGACACGTTCCGCCACGCTAGCCCAATGCCGGTTGGAAACTTCACACGTTTTCCAAAGGCTTTGAACTTTCTTGGACGTGCAGGTTTCATCACGATGTTTTCCTTTACTGTTAGTGAGAGGTATTGCTACTAAACTTTCACAAATGTACATAGAAAAGTCATAGGTACATGCCGCATCGGGACTCAAAACCTCGACCTTTAACTGAGAGACAACTGTTCACCTATCGCTTGACTAAATAAACTATGATAATTTTAAATTACTATGTTATATAGATAGATAGATAATACGTTTAATCTGCACAAATACAAACAGAAACAAAACATTTACAATCACTTCACAGAGTACAACATAAAAGCACATAGAACATTCATTACTAACTTTATACATATTTATATAAAAAACATACTGCGAGAAAAGCAAATACTGTGGCAAAAAAAAAACAAATACTATATAAGAACTGATAAAATTTTAATGTACCTATGATTACAGTTAGTGCTGAAATGGCCCTGACTCAGCATAAATACTATAGACCGAGAGAAGTCAAACAGTGCTGGTTTTCTGCCAGTACTATACGGTGAGCAATCGCAGCCCAGTAAGCCACGCCACCAAAGTATTTTTTTATTATATTTTATATAGTGTATATACAAAATATAATTTATAATTAAATGTAATTTCAAAGTCACATTTGGTTTCGCACGACTGCACAAGGCGGGCAGCGTTATTTTCACCTCTCTGAGTGCGTGCTCCGGTTCCTTTTTCCTCGTAATGAGCGCCTGGTGTCGTTAGACAGATATAGTAGGTTATTATAGCGTAGGTATTGTCGATTTTGTATGAGGAGTAATGTATCTGTTACGTAGTAACTATAAGCGCCCAGTCACACGAGGAGAAAGTTTTCGCGCGGTCGCCGTTACCACGCCTTCATGTACATTAATGGCGAATCTGAATTCTATTTACTAAGCAACAACATTTCAATTCCTCAGAATAATACAACCGGTTTCCATCCCGCCGCCCGCCGCGTAGACCAAATTCAAGCCAGTGTCGCCCGCATGCCCGAGACGCTCATTTAACTTAAGAGCGTATTTTGCCATGACAGTTAGACGCACGCGGTCGCTGTGCGGCGCCAACGCGGACTCCGCTTGGCGACCGCACGGGATGAGCGCGATGAAATTCGTGTCGAATAATTGCGCCCTTAAGTAATGTGTCTGAATCACAACTTCATAATGTTTTAGGTTATGCTAGAGCATAAACCAATCAGAGATGCCCTCGACGGGCCAAACCCTCTGCCAAAAGTATGAGACTGGTGGTCAAACTATTTAATATGACGTCTCTGTGAAAGAGACTGCGTGCATAAAGTCATGCTGGTGTTGCCTAATTTTGAAGAGTGCGTGAATTTATTAGTATTTTATTTCTGTGCACAAAAGTGGCAGACATTTTAGTTTTACAAATTAGAACTTGTGGCACCTCTGGTTGGTAAAATTGTCTAAGGTGCCTTCTTATTACATGTAGGTTTTCATTGTTTTCTTACACTATGAAATGCTATTAATAAATAATTTTACACTAAGAAACGCTATTAATAAATAAATTAGTGTACTCCTTATATTGATACATTACTTCTTCACTTCTATGCTTTTAATTAGAAAATATAGAATACTACTTACGAAACAAAATTATCCTCAGCAAGAGGTGGGTCCCAGAGCTTAGATATTGGTTGCTGAAGCACCAGATGTAATGTCACCAATGCAGCTTGCTTGTCGGCCTCTGTCCAACCGCAAAACTCTTCTTCATCTGTTGTTTTCTTTCCTTTCTTACCTAAAGTTAACTTTGTTGAATTCTGTGAAATAAATTTACTGTTATGAAATATGAAATGTTAAAAACCAAATTAAAATACAATTACATAAAGCCTCCTCCATGTTATCATATCAAGTCACATGACACTTTGATACTTCTTTAAAAAAGGATTATTTACTAGTAGACTTGTGTGATGTTAGTATTTTGTTACCGTTTCTATTTGATGTAATCATATGCTTGTATGTTCTGATGCCCACTTTCTGAAACTTTTCTTTAATTATTTTTTGTAATAACATTGGAAAGACTGAATGTTTTTATGATTTTTAGGAAAAAAGCCATATACAGTTGCAGTAGGGCTACTTACATCCGCAGCTAACTTAACATCCTTAACTTTCATGATCTGTGTGAACAAGTACATTGTCATTTTGACAATGTTCAGGGTTTTGACTCTTAGTTCTGGATCAATTTCATTATCTTGCAAAATCAGCTCAAGATGGTTGCAAAGACCTTTAGCTGCTCGCACTATATGGTCAAAACCTGAAATTTTTTAATTTATAAAAAATATTTTACCTGACTTGCAATACAATACAAGCAAAAGAAAATGTAAATTAATAATTGAAACACTTCTCAAAACACTACACGGTACTGGCAAAGTCGGCCAGGGTCAGGTTCAAGAACCGGCGAACAATACTATTATTACATATTATAATATATACTACAATAACAATAATAATAATAATTATTATTATTTACTTTAGTCTTCTCAGCTTCTTAGCTGGTTTGAACCACATTATGCTGCTGCTGCACATCAAGCTAAACATTGACAGATCTGGTTCTGTTGCTCAAGACATGATATTCAAACAAGTGTAAAGCTTGATGTGCTGCTGACTGTACAACATCCAATGTTAAATTAAAATAAACTTTTATTACAATGATTTAAAGTTTTATTAGGGTGGAAGTTATATATGTTATGGTGTTGTTCAAACTAAGTAGGTAAAGAATAGATGCAACGAAACTATTAATGTGTTGTAAACACACATACCTTTGTTTATAACATTCCATTCTAACTTGCTACCATGAACTATGATAGAAAAGTATGTGTCGAAATGTTCTAGGATATACTCGACGCCTTCCGAATTATAAGCTCTCGCAGCGTCTGTAATAAATGTTCCTCTATGAAGTGAATTCTAAAGTACAGGAGTTTATATGAAAACTTATAAAATACTTACCCTGGAGCTGCGACAATAGCAGCCTAGGCTGGACAACATCCTCGACGTGATATTTATCAACCTGAGACTCCAATAATTTGTCCTTTTCCAAAGGGATTTCGAATTCAAAGTGGCTCATCTTGAACACCTCTATACAGCCGTGTAAATAGAAGTACAAGTAAGAATTACACGTTAATTAGTCTAGAACACAAATTCTTCTTAATTAAAAAAATTTTTTTCCAAGAAAACACAGGTAGTTATCATTTAATAGAACAACAATATATTATATCCAAAACCGATGTACCGCCGAAAAACGAATTTTGGTTTAAAACTTTTATCGTTTAGAAATTATAAAACTAAAAAACATGCAACAAAAAGCAACTAAAGTAGGTCCTTTCAGTTGACCGTATGCTATTTGAAAATACAACAATATACGGACAAATCAACTTTCATTAAATATTATTACTATAACCATTGACTTATAACTATTACTTTCTAAAATTATTGTTTTCCAATCATTCTATTCTATTTTGGAACAGATTGCTAGATTCGAATAGTTTCTAGACGAAGTAATATTTGTCAAAAATGCCTACCTCTGAATGGTCCACCGACCACCCCACAAACTTTGCATTTTTATTTACACTGGCACTGGCTGTAGAGAGATCACGACATCAGCAGTATAAATGTAACAATGACAATAACTTAATAAAGTTATAGTAAAAATATTAGTTTATGTCAAAAAAGTAAAGTATTTACGAATTTGCTTTGTCCATTATTTATGGTTAATTTATGTGATATTGCAATAGTAATAATTTTGTGGTAAGAATCTCCATTGGATTAATAATTTTCAAAAGTTTATTATTTATGTATTGAAGAGTTTCTTTTGCACTCCTTAGTTATGAACAATGAAGATTTTTGTACATAATTCGGTATTAAAACATAAAGGATGGAACAAAAATAAAGGAATAGTCATATTATGTTTTAGAGATGTTGATGTCATATAATGTTTTAGAGTTTCTTTGTAACAAAATAATTGGCAATATTTTTGACACGTTGGTGGCCAGTTGTCATTTGACGTTTCATCTTTTAGGCCAACACAGCGGCGAATTGGAAGAAGTTCTTGGTGAATTTATCTTTGTTAGTTAGGGGTGTCAGAGTTAAGTCAGTTAAATAGATTTTGTAACTCATAATGTCAGGAAAAGGAAACAAAGCCTTCACAAAAGAAGAGGAATTGCTGTTGCAAGACTTCAGCAGAAACGTTTCTACGAAATCTTCTGCTCTTTTCTATGGAAATGCCTTTATTGTGTCGGCAATCCCCATATGTGAGTATTTAACGTCTGTTCCTAACATTTTTGGTCCACTTTTAATACAAACAAACGGCAGCTTTCATTCAGGAAAAATCGTAATTACAAGTGAAAGTGTCGTCGCGTATAGCCTGTTTAGCGTGTCGATTTCATTTCAGATTTTACTTATAGTAGCCAGACCTATTGAGTAATGTACCTATTAAAAATGTTGATTTTATTCAGGGTTGTTCTGGAGGGTGCACGCCTTGGAAGTGAGCGCATCCCTAGTGTGGTTTGCTCTTGTAACTACAGCCAGCACTTGGCTGTTAGCTCTGGCTTACCGCAACACCAAGTTCCAGTTGAAACATCGCGTTGCTGTGCGTCGGGAGGATGCTGTTGCTCGGGAGATGGCCAGGAAGCTTGCCGATGACAAGAAAATGAGCAGAAAGGAGAAGGATGAGAGGTAACAGCATTGACTTTTTGTTGTTTGTTAAAATTTATTCTCTGTGCATTTCTACATCCTGGGAAAAAAAACTTGGTGCAGTCTCGAAATTCCCAGGTAAACGAGACTTTCAAGACTGTTTCAAAAATAGGCTTCTATGTTTATAGGCTAGGTTTTTAGGTGGTTGTAACATGATATTTTATTTTATTCTTTTATTAATGCTAATTATAAAATCAATTGTGGTTTATGAGTTATTTTTTAATTTTTTTATTGGGCATGGGAACAAAACGTGTTTGATATAGGTAGTGATTTTATAACTATTATTCTTGCCATGTCTATATAACGAAAATTAAAAATGACCATATATTTTAGTCTTTTTAGATACTGCTTAATTAAGTACCTTAAGTCTCAAGAAGTTTCAATATTCCTGAGACAAGTCTTGAGACACAAAAATGTCAAAAAATTGGTGTGACTCTTGAAGTTTTTGAGACCAAGATTCCCAGGATGAAAGTTCTAATTCTAGTGGATTTATAAATTTTGTGGACTAGTTTCTCTTTGCTAAACTTTTATCACATTGATGCTAATATAATTATTATTCAGACTTGATGTTGTATGTAATCAAAAAGTAATATAAAAGTAATGTTATGACAAATCATGCTTCAATTCCATGAAAAGGTCAAAACATTATATTAGTGCTTCTAATATAATGTCTACTCATATCAACCTATACAGGTCATGAACTTATGTGCAGATCCTGCACACAGATCTAATAAGAACATTACGTAATAATTTTTATAAGCATTGTTCTTGCTTTTTTTCTAGGATCCTGTGGAAAAAGAATGAAGTAGCAGACTATGAAGCAACTACTTTCTCTATCTTCTATAACAATGCTCTGTTCCTGACTATCGTTATCCTGAGCAGCTTCTATTTGCTGCGCTCATTTACTCCTACAGTGTATCCTTTTTTACAATCAAATTTGAATTATTTATACATAATCAGGTAGTGTTCTGCTCTCAGAACAATTACAAGGGGCTTACCTTAGAAATCCAAAAGTTTATGAATTTGCCACTTGTTATGGATGTACATGGTGTCCTAAAAGTCGACGTCAAGTAGGCGCCACGCGTGAGGCCAGGTTATATCAGTTCTGGTAAAAATAGTCAAAAAATCCATGACCTTTTTTACTTAAGTGATTTTTGGCATATTTTTTGATAATGTTGAAAATTGAGACCCTAAACAACATTTTTAGTTCCTCTCGTCACAAATTTTCAAGCTTTGCAGCGTTTTTTTAACGTAATTCTAAATGCCCATGGTGTTTATCGCAGTCACATAGCAAACAACGCACGTAGTTATGTAGTTTGAGCCGTGGGGCGACGGCTTAAGAATACATTGTCGCCTCCCCATACATGCCCGTGGGGGTCGTAAGAGGCGACCGAGGGCGTCACAAGTGTCCATCTGCTTAGCATTGTGGTAGGCTCTGTGCCGACTGGATAGCGACCACAGTACACACGGCGGAAAACCCTCCACAGTGAAACGCTTTTGCGAATCGCGTTCAGGGATCAGTTGGTGTACATCCAGTGCATTTGGCCAGACCGGCAAAATGATAGTGACGGAGTGAAGATATTTGTGTTTTCCATCCGTTACTCTCATCTCTGGACTGTATTCGCACTTTCCATCAGGCGCGGTGCAGTCATTTTGTCGAGTCGCAATAAAAAAATAAAATAAAAAAAAAAGTTTAGTAAATAAAAATAAGTTTCTTAAATCATAGTTAAAAAAATATATTTTAGTTAACTTGACATTTCGTAATTAAAAAAAGTACTACGCTACCTTGGGCAAGTTACTTGAAAAGATGGCCCATCTAGTTAATATTTCGCAATGGTACAATACTTGCCACTATCATTCCATGAAAAATATTATTGCTTTTTTTTGCAAAAGGATAATGTTTCCAAAAAACTCATATTTATAAAAATAATACTTTTGTGTGCTCAAAGATTGGCTTTACCATAGTGAGATAATTGCATGTCTATAAATCAGTAGTATGTTTAAAATACATATCTTAATAATTCTAATTACATGTATTAAGTAAGAATTTATTTGTGAGAATTTTCCTAAATATTCCAAAAAATTGGTAGTTGCAACAACTCGTTTCAAAGTTTAGCTAAATATAGTCTACGTACCTATCCCAAATAACGTTAATTTTTAATGTACTTAAGTGATTTCCCGAATCCCGAATAGATCTGGACAAAAAAATTTTGTCTAAGGTACTCTCCACTTTCTGTCTATGTTCCTCGAAGTTTAGGTAACAAAACTACCTATTCCGATCACTGGTAATATCGCACAGAATTAATAATATTTTTTTTTATTAATTTCATGTGACATTAGTAATTATTATTGTTATTGTATTTGAATTGTTATTAAAAATAGCATTGAAAAGTCACTATAGAACAACTTCATGAAAAAAAATTGTTAGTTATGTTCAAAACAATACTTTCCTTAACAATAATTTGAACAGTAACTACATCATCTCTTTGACTGTGGCTTCTGGATTCTTGGCACTCCTCTCCACTGGCACCAAGTGAAAAATATCATAAGTAATTGAGTGGTGTGTGTTGGTGATGTTAGTGAATGTAAACCATGGTGACACTCACTGAGGAACAAGTCGTCACTGCATGTGTCTATTTAAAGTGCTTCATAAATTAAGCTTAATTTTGTTAGTGTAAAAATTTACAATTTTAATAATAAAATGAAATTACATTACAGTCTTTAGTATTTATTTACAACAGTTGAAATATCAAATCCACTTATGAATTAAGTTACAATCTATGTTAATATTAATAGCTGTTTTCATTGCACAGGGTGGGTTCAATTTTAATGACAGCCTCTTACTTAAGATAAATCCAAGAGCATTATTTACAATTTCATAACTGTAACGTACATACATCATTGCTTGCTGCCGGCCTATATTGTATTTGTATCAGATACACGAAAACTATGGCCAAATATTTTTATACGAATCTACTTTTCATTGAGTGTCATGTATTTTATTTTATAATTTATTTTTTCTTGACTAGAAAGTAGACATAAATAATGTTTTCGCCCAGCGTTTCAGTGTTTTTTATTGAAATACTTTACACGGCAGCATTGAAACCAAATAATTTGTGACGTGACCGCTGAGCGCTAAGGTCGTTCACATCTTACGGCGTTATAAGGCGTTGCAATGCGCTGATTTAGACACTTGTCTTCACATCACTCCTAATTATCCGGTGAATTCATTACACTGAATGTCAATCGTATAACCACTAAAATAATCTCAATATTGGAACTGAGATGTTGACAATGTTCGCTAGACGGTCGTTATACATGGTAGCTAAGGTGTGCTAGCTGTGATTCTAGTTCAAAGGGCCGTCACGTCACCGGGCTGGACGTCAGTGCCTCCTCGTAATCGCGTCTATGTGCCGCGGGTCTCTGAAGCTCGAATATGTAAGCCGTACGTGGTTGACGATGTCAGCAACGGTAACGTTTGGTGAGGATTGCATTATCCGTTGGTGGTAGCGGTTGCACTGTCAAATCGCGGTGTTCGCGGGGAACGCAGGATTGGCAGGGCTCAGTACATCATGCCGACATGCAGCGGCTCTGGCCGCTGGAAGTACACGTTGGGGTTGCTGCTGAAGGTGGGCTCCACGCTCGTGTACACGTTACCCTCCTCGCCGCGCACCATCACGCCTGCACGCATCAGACGTACAATATCAGTACCCACCGGATTCATTCACGTCATTGTCCTAGGTAAGTAAGTAGTTTAGTGTTTTGAATATCAAATTAATATTGTACACCTACTCAACAAACAGATAAATTACCAATACATATTTACACAAGATGTACCTATTAAAGAAAATAAGATCAGTTTCGAAAGCTAAGACGTCAGCAGTGACAAAGAGTGCGTAAATGGTGCACATACGCTTATTACCTGGAGGCATTAGATAGTGATAAGGCGGGTAGTTGTAGTGGTAGTGCATGGGGTAGTGCAGGGGGTAGTGCGGCGGGGAGCACGGGGGGCGGGCGTGCGGGAGAGGCGAGCTCGCGAACAGCGCGCCGTACGGATCTGCGAACAGAACGCGCCAGTCTGCCGTCAACACGTGCGGGAAGCGCTAGTCTTACTAGTAGCGCACTCTAGATACTTAACTAACCGGCTGGCTGAGCGGGCGGTTCCTTGCGATCGAGAGCGACAGCCGCAGGCCCCGGCGCTACCGCTGACACCATACCGTACTTCACGGGTTTGAAATGGAAGAACGATGGCGAGTAGCCTGACCCGCCAGCGCCCAATGAGCTCAGTCCCTCGTCACGATCTGCGTCCCAGCGCCCCTCGCGGCCTAATGCCGCCAAGCGGCGGCCCTTAGGTGCGAACATGAGCGCAAAGACGACCGATGTAGTAGCGAGCAGGCCTGCCGCTATACACGCGTCGCGGTGGCGCTCGGGAGCACCCAACGCCGCAGCTACCCAGCACACCCAAACGGCAGCTGTGGCGCCACCCGCACCCGCAATGTGTGTTGCTTCACGATAATTATCACGAATACCCCGTGACCTCAACGCCACGCCGCAAACCACTGTCACTAGGAAAGCCGCGTAGCATAGTGACAGGAGTAGTTCCGAGAGGGCGCCCTCACAACGCGCACCTCCTGTCGCCACACGCGGTGGCGAGCCGCCAAGCCATTGCGCGCCAATTGCTACTTGGATCATCACTGCGAAAAACAGAAGCAGGCCTTGATACGTCGCTGGCAAGTAAACACCTCCGTTCAGGCTCAGCAGGAACACGCATTTCACAAGCAGAGAGGCAAAAACAACCACGTATGATACGCCTGTCCCGAAGCGAACTGCACCGCACGTAAATACAGTAGGGGTAGCGGCGTAGAGGGCCGCAGTAGCCGCACTCGTAAATAGTCCAAATAAAAGAGTCTGCCCAAGAAGAAGGTGGCGTTGGCTGGGGGATCTCTTGCTGGCTCCCCATACGACGAACGCCTCGAATCCGCCGATCGTCACCATACTCACACACGCAAGGGCTAAGATTGGTACTGCCCAAGATTCTGAACGTAATGCTCCCGTAATCGGCGTTGCTATGGTGGTCGTGTTTATCGGCCGCGGCCGCGGCGTTGTATAGGACGGCCGAGATGATGTGGGCGGCGCTGGCGATGACGAGCTGCGCTGCGGTACCACAAAGTACTCAGTACTCATCTCGAGGCGATGCGCTTCGGTGCGGGCCGGGCGCCGTGGCGGAGGTTCTGTCTCTGGCAGCAATTCCTCGATGCCGGCAATTTGTTCGTTATAGTCATCCTGCTCGTAGGAGTCCTCGTAGTGGGAGTCGGCGAGGTGAGGGACGGCGCGTCCGTGTGCGTTGCGCGGCCCGTAGGCGGCGGGCACACGTGGCGCGAGGCGGTCTCCGAAGCGCGCAGCACCCGCTAGCGAAACCAGCGCCACGGAGGCCAGCAGCGAGTGTAGCGCCCTACTCGCCATCGCCCGCGCGCCTCAGCAGCCCGAGCCGCGCGGGACTAGCATTCGCGCCAGACTCGCTATCTCTGGAACGATAAACGTGCGTGTCAGTCGAGTCAAGATGTCTGCCCTGTGTCGTGAGGTTTTGACTTTACGATAAGCAAACAAAGAATCCCTCAGCAAAACCGGTTCGGTCGTTGCACCTCCTAGGGACCCTCTAACATTGCCGATTTGGCATTCTTTGTCGTTTTATTTAAGGTCACGGAGGATGAAATAGCCGAGACTATAAAGTTTTGCGTCGTCGCACCGGGAACGTGGCCAGTAATAAGTTATTATTGTTACCGGGATGGATATGTCGCTAGTGAGCGTTCATTCTTATGTAAATTCATAAGATTCTTTTGTTGGAAAGATAGGGCCAATATAGGTATTTTTAGTAACTAATAAAAATAATAATGTTTATTTAAACTTGATATTACATATAACCAAAACTAATGAAAAAATCATCAACATCAATAAGTAGGTATAAAGTTTTTCAAGATGTCACTGGACTGTCTTTATATTTGAAGGCGATATACCTACGTGTAACCACACTGAGATTACGCTAACGAGACCATTATAACATTACTGAGCAGGAGCAGTGCGGTCCGTAATGGATACTATTTTATTAAGTTCTACGTCAGTGTCGGGTGTCGAGTGTGCAATGACTGTAGTCTGCGTGTACAAGAGGCGACGCGACATTCGCCCAACGACAGACGGACAGTACTCGGGGCAACGAACGTATTAATTCCTGCCCTTTGCGACACACCTATGGATGCGTGAGTTACTCGTCTAGCTAACGACGTCGAGCAGGTATTTTATGTCCGCTAAATACATAATAGGACTAAATTAAAAACATAAATTAAAATATGAAATACTGTCAAAAGTGAAATAAATTTAGGTAAAATTCAAAAAAGGGTATGCACCACTTGAGTCTTATTTTTTGTATTGTAATTTTCTTTTATAAATTATTTATTATATGGAAATATTTTATACTCGTAAACATCATTAAATAGGTAATTTTTTAAATTCTATTACGTAGTATTTCTGGCTATTTAGGTAGATAAGTAGGTACTTAAATTATTTCAGTAAGGTAATTTATACACGTTAACTTATCCAATAAAGTACTTAATGAAGATAATCGTAATAAAAGTTCTAACTAGCGCTGTCGGCGGCAGTAAAATCAGGCTTTTATTACTTGATGTTATGGACTTGCTTTTATTGCATACACTAGGTATATACATATTATACGCATTGTGGTGTGGTGGATTTGCTCTCAGCATTATCTAGTATCATAGCGTCGAGGGCATAAATCATGGGTTGGTCGCAGTTTGTCTGCGCGATAGCTCCAATAAAATATGCATCTGCCATATAAGGAAGAGTCTCATTCGGAGATTAGACAAGTTCACGGGCCCGAATCGTGACTTTAACTTATCCGGATCAAGTATACTGAGCGTATTGCAGGCAGATTTGGCGCTAAAGTAACGGTGAGCCTCAGGCTCGGACTGTCGAAGCGGCGAGAATATCTACAACGGTATCCGTGATGTTATCTTCAATCACTCCCGAAATCTTCGCATACACACACTGTTTCGTATACTTAGTTTACATATCCACGAACCACACCAAACAGATTGAGTAAAAGTGACGACACAGACTACTTCACACCAGTGTTTAAGTATTCACTACGATTGTTTTTGAGAAAGAGCCTAATTGGCAATGCAACTGCTTCGTTGATTCTTTTCGTAAACTTTTATCTAGCTGTCACTATCAATGAAATAAAACAAGCACAAATTCATATGAGCACGTCTGTCGTCTTGTCATCGTACTGGACTACATACTTTGAATTGGCTGTTATAACTAGTTTATCATGTCATTCGAGGAGCCTCGTATTCGGCAGTGTACGTATGCGTACAGGAGCGTATATTAATATTGTTTGATTAACTACATTAGTAGTAGTAAAAATAAAAATGTACCAGCGTAGTAATGCAGGTACATAAATTTTATGTAATTCGTTTATTATATTCAGTAAATGCATAAAGCCACCTTAGCCATTCTTGTTAATGTTATGACATTCTACTTTTTTTTAATATAAGAAATAAAATGTCATCAATGTCCTTAACAATCTTATATACCTATCAAGAAACTGTCCAATGTGGCTTAAAAACCAATATTAGAAAATAATAATTATAGTATAAACTAATGGAAAGAAAACGATCATGTAACGAATGCCACAGATTCCGTACTGATTCCCCGATTTAATATACCAACTGAATATACCTACCCGATATGCTGAATAAATTGCGGAGTTAACGTCTAGTTGACACGCCAAAGGTGGTAAATGGAAAGTCAAGGCTTAAGAGTACTTACGTCGTTGTATACAACTATAGTGTATGAGACAATGACAGTGTCAGGGAAACAGAGCGTCGTTCGTGTGCGGCAGCGCGTTGTAAAAGTAACAGCACGAATACTCTGAGTGAAACTCGGCTGAACTGATTGCAAGGAGACCATGCCGACAACACATTCCTGCGTTACTCACAATTATTCAATATATTTTGATTTCATTCACCATAAAGTTGCGCTGTTTCGTTTGATTGTAAACATAAAAAAATGAAAGAGCATACGTAGACGTAATGCCTTCATGTACGCCGTCGGAAATGTAACTATATTTTTTTAAATGTAAATCGCATGTATTCAGGCCAGGTAATGAGCCCGAATTGTCGGTTTGTTACATAAACAATAAATACGTTCGATTAAAATCCGAAAAAATAAAAAGTTCAAACTTAAGTCCGAGTCTTCAATGAGAAATTTGGCGAAATTTAAATAATTACCTAATTTACGCATTGTGTGAATATGGAAGTAAGCACTTACACTGACTATATGTAAACTGACTCCCATAGCTTTCCTTTTTTATATAAAGTATATATAATAAGTTAATTTTCATTTATTTTGACAGATTGTGTGTCTTTGTATGTGATCCACAGTACGCTACACATTATCTGTAAAATTAGTTTTGTTAAATATTTTATCTTTATGTATTAAATAATTTAAAATTGTTTAAATTTGCAGTTAAAACTGCAAACTATTAAATATCTATACCGTAACTTGTGACTGAGTGTACCAACGTACACTTAGGTCCTAATTGAAAAACATGCACTTTATACGACTGCAATGAAATCCATTAATAAGTATTATGATAGGGTAATTGTAATAAAACTTGGATAACAAAACGAAGTTAAGTGCGAGCTTCTAATGAAAGTAGTAGTAAAACTTCATTTTACAGCGAAGATCGTAATATGGTTGATTGGTATGTGGGGAAGCATTGAATATTCGGTGGTTTAAAGGAAGCAGTAGCTCGCTGTGGAGACAGATGTCAATTGTACAGATACGAGAAACTAGTCTATTTACAAACACTGCCTGCAATTATACACACGGGCGAGTACTTTATTTCTTATAAAACTCAGTAACTAAAGGCAATTGTACGTGGATGAAGAAAAAATCGACCTCAAAAGTCATTCCCCTAGTATCCCACCAGAGGTAGAATTTTTTCTTCAAATTGAAATGGAACCACTACTGAAGTACCCTCTTTCCAACAAAAAAAGTATCATCAAAATCGGTTCACAAATATCGTGAACCGATAGTTATCGGTGAGTGTACATACAAAAAAAACCGTACACTCGAATTGAGAACCTCCTCCTTTGTATGAAGGTTAAAAATGTACTAGAAAAGGTTTAGAAAGTATTTTTATGTTGGCATTTGTCACCACGACAGTGTAGTGTACAAGACATAGCGTCTTATCCATTCACATTTATTTTAATGAATTGTCCGTCCTGTGTCTTGTCTTTACTATCACAATAACATCCAACGTTCTTGAAAACTCAACCAAGTTTGAAAGTTATTAGAGCACGCATTTTCAGAAGTCTCATAATTATTTTAGTAAACTATTTACATAACATTCGTAATTCGTGTTTAAAATTGCAATGCACAAAAATGTTCGTGCAACGTGGCTATTACGATTTGAAGTGCGTCAAGTGTAATTTTCGTCATAACATTCTGCTTCTCCCTTATTATACGCAATTATGAACTATTTAGTAGAAGTATATGTGAAACGTAGGTTTAGCTATTTGTACCTATAACCTTCTTGCCTTCGTGGCCGAACGGTTACCATGCCGGACTACCACGCAGAGGTCTCAGGTTCGGTTCCCGGGCCGGGAGAAATATTTGTATGGCCTACATTTATTTATCTCGTGAGTTTGGGTGTAATTTGTGGTTCTGGTTGTCTATGTGTGTGTCCATGACACCCGCGACACAGGGTTTCCCTAGTGAGGGGCTATGTTGAGTGTGTGCGTTATTATTATTATTATTTATCTAATTTAGACTCTCGCCTCTCCCAAAGCCTAAAAGATTAATTTTGAATTTTTAAATTGGAGAGGCGGTATTTCCCGGCACTGGCACAGTCGGCCGGGGTCAGGGCCTCAGGTTCAAGAACCGGCGAACAATACTATTATTACATATTATAATATGTACTACAATAATAATAATAATAATAATTATTATTATTTACGTTAGTCTTCTCAGCTTCTTAGCTGGTTTGAACCACATTATTATTATTATACTACGGCCCTTATGCAGGACTATGTAAGGTGAAACGTTTTGAGTTTTAGTATTAAGCCGTGGTAGCTTAGTGGTTTGGTTTTGTTTAACCTACCGCTTCTCAAGCAGAATCTCAGCTCGAACCTCTGAGTTTCTCGGAATTTAGCTTTTCATTAAACGGAAACATCGTCTATGCACGTCGAAGAAGGTTCATAACCCTTTGACGTGTGGAGTTCTCTACCCGCATTGGGCTAGCGTGGCGGACTAAGGCCTAAAACCATCGACCAAATCTCAGAGGAGACCCGTGCGTGCCCCCTACAGGGAGACGTATAAATGGGTTCATTATGATGATGATGAAGATAGTGATGTATTAATACACTAGGAAACTTCTAGACTTTCAACTCATTCGGCACTCTAATACCTAACGTAAAATGTTAGAAAGTTAACACCTTTAACATGG